CTCTGCGCGCGTTCTCCTTCCCCTTTCTGCAGCCGGCCCGCCCACCGCCTTCAATTTTGCCCATAGACGCCGTGGAAACACACCGCCGGATCGCTGCAGACCCGGGTCCACCGCGCCGCTTCACCGGCGCTCCGGATCCGCGGCGCCAAACCGCCCGCGGGTCGTTGCTGCCCCGGATCGACCACCGCCGAGTCGCCGCCCGCCCCTGATCCGTAGGTGAGTCCTTTTCTGCCCATTCAAGTTAGATTTAGCGAACGATTTCCACTCATGCGAGCTCCGTTGCGATTTCTAGATGGATTTAAGCCCTTGCGAGGAATTTCTGCTCGAGGATTCATCCTCGTCCGATGACTCAGACATAGAGATGTTACTCGAGAACAATTGGCAGCAGGTGGTGGTCCTCGCCGTGAAGGAGCTCGAGGATAGGAACAGAAGAGACAGTGAGGATCGACTGTCGACCGTCTTTGCATCCCTCACAACCGCCATCTCGGGAACATGAAGCTTGCGAGACCAATTCTTGATTTTTTTACCCAAAGGAGAAATGTCGCGGGCTGGAAGGCTTTTAGCGCATATCAAACGATCTCGTCAACTATGCGGATGATTGCATATGGCATTCCGACTGACTATGTCGATGAATATCTTCACATTGGCGAAGATATTACAATTGAGTCAGTGCGTAGGTTCGCCAAAGTGATCATCCGTGTCTTTGGTTCTGTCTATCTTCGGGCACCCAACGAGGAAGACACGAAAATGTTGATGGCAACAAATGAGAAGCAAGGTTGGCCGGGCATTGCTAGAAAGCGTTGATTGTATGCATTGGACTTTGAAAAACTGCCCGAAGGCATGGCACGAGCAGTATTTGTCGTAAGTCTCGTGATGCAACCACTACTAGGGAAAACCTTCTTATAGGCAAACGCTTACTAGAGCGTGAGTTTATACCCCTCGCTACTGCTACTTACTAGTAGCGCGACACCCCTCCCTACTACTAAGTTGATAGTAGTAGCGCGGGTTTTTAACCCTCGCTACTACTAAGCGGTCTCTACTGTGCCCCTCGGGACATGCCATAGTAGTAGCGAGGGGGTATAAACCCGCGCTACTACTAAGTTGATAGTAGTAGCGTGGGTTTTTAACCCTCGCTACTACTAAGTACGAGGTAGGTGATGTCCTCATATCCTCGGCCGAATCCCTCCACTCTCCCTCACTCTCCCCCCTCTCTCCATAGGCTCTCCTATGGTGCTCCTGCCCAAGCACACCTCCTCCTCCATGCCGCCCAACGAGTTCACCTCCCTGCGTCGCTGGCGTCCAGGAGCTCGCTTGTCTTCCCTCTCGCCTCTATGCCATCACGACGGAGCACCTCACCACCGGCGACCATCCCCGCTGCTACCTCCATCTCCTTCCTCTCTCCCTCGTTTTTCTTTCTTTCTCTCTCTCTCCCTCTGGATTGACTCACCCTCCCATGTCCTTGCCCTTGCAGGTCGTCGCCATGGACGACCAGGAGCTCACTGCCTTGGCTGTGAAGAGGAGCCCCACGCCGCCGCCTTGCTCGGCCATGGATCCGGGCCCTCTGCAGCAGTCGGCGCTGGATCTGGTCTGCCGCCGCCCTTCCACACCTCTGGCGACCCCTGCCGGCGCTGGATCGAACCATTGCTGCCATTGACTGCACGCACGGGATCGAGATTTTTTTTAGTTTTTGAAATTAATAGTAGTAGGGCGGGTAGCACCCACGCTACTACTAACAGGCGTAGTAGTAGCGCGGGTGCACGCGCGCTACTACTACAAGTTAGCTGTAGCGCCGTAGTAGTAGCGCGGGCACCCGCGCTACTACTAGGCTTTTTCCTTTTTTTGACCTGGCTAGGCTTTTTTCCTAGTAGTGAACAATTGTGTGAGAGCCCGTTGCATGCGAGGATTTATGTATTTGGCATTGCTTCTTTGGTTTGTCGGGTACTCTCATTGACACCAATGTGTTGCATCGGTCTCATTTGTTTGTTAGACTTGCTAGTGGTGATGCTCCTGCTTGCAACTACACGATGAATGGGCATTAGTACACAAAGGGCTACTATATTGCTGATGGTATTTGCCCTTCCTGGTCTACATTTGTCAAGACCATCAGAAAACCCAAAAATAGGAAGCAAGCTGAATTGCAAAAGGCACAAGAGGCTGCCCGAAAAGATATTGAAAGAGCCTTTGGGGTTTTGCAAGCTAGCTTTGCCGTTGTTCGTGGTCCTGCTCGTTTTTGGGACAAGCGAACCCTGAACAACATCATGACATGTTATGTGATTCTTCACAACATGACCAAGATGAGAGGGACATGAACTTGCAGTTCTTTGATGACAAGGTCGGTAGCCGTGTCAAGCCATCTAGAGACCCTGATCGCATACAAGCATTCCTACAGACATATCGGGAAATTGAAGACTCAAACACCCACCACCAGCTTCAGCACAATCTCATTGAGCACAATTGGCAAAGGCATGGGCAGCAATAAAACTTTTTTACATTCACTTAATTTAATTCATGTGTGATTTGTATCATTGTTGTATTCGGAACAATTATTGTATTGAATTATAAGTTTAATTATTAGATTTGGATATTTTTTTTGTAATTTGGATGATTGTTGTATTGTAATATTCAGATTTTAATTTATATTGATTTCATATTTCTATGTAATATGACACATATGTATCAAATTGAGAAAAAACTGTGTGCTCAGACTTGCGGGGTCTGTTCGGCGCAGCCCGCGCCAGCCCTCAAAACATGTTTTCTGCGGTCCTTTTAAAGGTCCGCGCGATAAGGGTTTTTTTTTTACGTTCAAGACAAGGGGTCTGATAGAGATGCTCTTACGGGCGTATTTTTACGTATTGACGTTCATGGAGAGAGGTGAGTCACCTGGTTGAACGGAAGGGAGCCCCACCCCGAAAACGGCGACCTCATCGACAGAAGCAGCACACGTGAAAACACACATCACGCACGCGAAGGAAACCAGGCAACTTCTTGTAAGCGAGATGTGAATGAAGCTGCACATTTGGTAGCTAAACTTGGTTATGATTGTAATGCCAGTGGTGGCCGCTGTTACTGTAATGGGCGAGATACCCGTAATAAAGCTCTGTTTCAGCACTTACAAAACTTCTGGGCATGCCAGAAATGTTGTCTAAATAAAAAATGAATCTATCTTACTCTTGGTATTGCAACGCACTTGCTGACTTTGCCGCTGCAGGGAACTTCCACCTTCCACACTGTTCCACTCAGAGAAGTTTTTTGTTG